TTCGAAATATATTAAGTGTGAAAATAAAAGTTACTTGTATTTAAAAAAGAAATTAAAAATGTTTTTTAATGAGAGAACTAACATTAGATATAAACAACTTGCTTTTGTTACAAAAATAATAGCCATATTCTGAAAATGTATTTTCAAACACACTGGTACAAAATATTCAATATTAAAATTCCAAGCCGTTTCCATTTTCCAATATATATTTTAATTTATTAGACGTTATTTGAATGATACTTGTAAATTTACCTATACATACATTTCGAGTTAATCCTCCACAGAGGAAATTATGACGTTCTCAAATTGAGTATTTTTTTTCTCAATTTGAGGGCGTACTGAATTTAAGTACAACATTTGGAAAAAAAACTCAAATTGAGAAAAGTTTAAATCATTTAAGAAAAAAACAAACTTAAATTGATCAAGAAATTTTCAATGTGGGGGAATGTGCTCTTCAATTTCCAACTTGAGAATAAATATTCTCATATTGAGAAAATTAAATTACCTTGGCAATATATTTTTCGTTTGATAAAGAGATTTTCAAAACATATCTTTAAATATATAAAGTTGAATATAAATTTTGGTATATCGAACATCATAAATTTCTAAAAGCTTAAATGTACCTTTTTTGAAGCGTTCCTCATTAAAGGATTTTTAAAAGTATAGGGGACAAATCATTCAAAATAATAATTTTTTAAACTTAAGTAAAGTAAAGTTGAATATCTGGACTATCAATTAGGAATCTATAGGTTTTTGTGAGTTACAAACTCTGAATTTTCTCCGAGTGCTTGCAATAAAATGAAGGAAAAGCGTTGATGGCGACTTTTGGTTTGACAGTCGCAGCGACGGCGACTTGACGGCCTCGGCGGCGTCGGCGACTGTAACTGCGAGTGTGTGAGTGTGAGTGTGAGTGTGAGGACAACAATTACACCGACAGGGGCAAAGGGGAAACGGTAAAGCAAACACAGCACAGGCACACGGGCAACGAGCATGTGTGCGTGCCTCGCTTTTGTTGCCATAACGGAAATGGACGCCATGTCGGATGTTTGAGGAAATGTTCGTATGGCTGTAACGGCGGCGGCGGCGAGAATGTATTTGTGTTTGTGCCTGTGTGTTAGTGCTTCCCCATTGCTCTACAAAGTCATATATGTGGTCTATTAGTTGGGCGACTGTTTTAAAACATTAAATTGTATTGACATTTGAGAGAGTAGGTTGAACGGCATTGTCGCGTATTCCGATTGTTATTACTCTGCTGCCCGCTCCTTTGAAATCAAAATTAATTGGAATATGATGCGGAAATTATGGCTGTGACATTACATTTAATTGAACGTTTTCAGGTCAATGCGGGAGTAAGCAAACAACTAGCTTGTTTGTTTTAAATTGGTTTGTTTAATGTTGATATACCGAATTCATAAATATTCATAACTAGTTAATGGTTGTTATTTTAAGAACAAAGTGCACCATTATTGGTATTCGTAATTTAAATAACTTAACTTAAACTATACTGTACTCAATGTTGAATATATAAATTATATGTAAAACTGTTTTGTTGTCGTACAAATATTTTCTTGGCTTTCGTGTATCGAACAATAAAAGGCGTATTTTATTAGTACTTAAAAAATATATTTCTGTAAAACCTTTTATTGATTGTAATAGTCATTGTGAAACATATCATTGAATACTCCAAATATTGTTTGTTAAATTTCGAGTTCCCACAACAAGCTCTACTCATTCAGATGATATTATTCCGCATCCAGGCTCTTCCATCTCCTTATTCTGGACCCGTCGGCAATCGCTGAAGTAAGCCAAAGTAACCAAACCATCTCCAAATATATAGAGAAGATCTCTCCGCACACTTACTCACTCACTGACTATTCATATGCAGTCCGGCACTCATGCTGTGAGTGTTTCTTGTCTGCCGGCTTGTTTGTTTGTTTATTTGTTTGTTTGTTGGCTGAACGAGTGGGCGAGTGCGAATGCGAATGCAAGTGGGGCGTTTGCGTAAATGAATGATCCCAGTCGAGTGGAGTCGAACTGAGCCGACTTCCATGGCGGGCCAGCCAGGGACTCGACTTAAGCCGACACTGAAAAAAAAAGGCCAAAGGTTAATGGTATACAAATTATTATTATTAAATTATTTTATTAAATTATTATTAAATATAATTTTAAGGGGATCCTAAAAATATGATTGATTTAAAGCGATAAGACCTAAAAATACAATTGAATGATAATAATTTTTTTTAAGTATATTCGGTTATCAAAGCTATTACGTTTTCTTTAAAAATGTCACTGAATTATTTATTTTAATAAGATTTAAATATATTGAATAAAAAAATTTCAATTTATGAGCTTTTCGATCTACCAAGAGGCATATTAATATAAACTACAATGAATAAAAATACTTTAAAATGGGCAAAACGTGAAAATATTTAAAAATATTAATAAATTTAAATATATGCATCCTTTTTTGAGACCGAAAATAATATTTTTTAGAATAATTCAAATTAAATTTTTATGTCAAAATATTACTTAATTTAATTAATTTTTTTCCGTGTAAAAACGCCGTGCACGCATCGCTGGCGGAGCACTTGCCACGCCCCCTACCGCCCCTCTTGAATGCCAAGTGTGCTCGCCATGCATGCGTATGAGTAACTATAGTGAGAGTGTGGGTGAGTGGACTGAAGTGGGTGGTCGCAGTGGGTGGTGCGGGCGTGATAGTGGCAGTTGTGGCTACAGCCATATGGTTAGGGGAGGGGGTGAAGAGGGCCAGCGTGAAGAGCACTGGTGTTCAAGTGCTTGATGTATTACAAAATACGTATACGCAACCGCAGCCTACAATTACAGTGCCAAGTGTCGGTTAGGTATTTCTTGTTCACTCTCTCGCTCGCTCATTCAAGTCCGCTAAGTTGTGTGTTTATGCAGAGGGATTTTAAGAAATAATATGAACAAATTATGTAAGAATTATTTTCTTGAATTCTGCATTTAATTTTGCTTAAACACAGCTTTTCATGAACCATTTTAAGGCGACAGTTCACATTTTAACTTGAATTTACTTATAATATTTTCAGAATTATTTTCCTATTTAATAAAATTTCTTTAATTAAATTAGAATTCATGAATTTCTCACTATAAACTAAGATTATATCTGCAATGTGATTTAAGTGTTAGAATGTGTGCGTTAGGCTCTGCATTTTATTAATACCAACACATCCTTTGCTTTTTGGGATTTGCAGCATATTGATAATATATCCTATAACAACGAAGGACTAGAGCCCGCTCTTTTACTTTCACTTTCAGCATTTCACCGAGACCCCACACCCTCTTTTGAATTGCCGCAAGTGGCCGTTTATTTACATATATTTTGCGCTGAGTGGCACACTTCAAAGCTCTTCTGTTGTTTTTGCTGTCGCTACTTTATGGTTATTGTTTTTGCCAGAGAAACCCTACCGCTGGCATTGTCATTGTTGCTGGCACTTTGCGTCATTTCAGGCAATTTATGAGTTTATTGAACAGCACGCAGCTTGTGTGCCTTTAATTGGCACTTCTTGGCGCATGTCATCAGCTGTTGTTAATGTTAATTGAGAGAATGGGGGGGGATGCCCAAAGACCACCCACCATTCCCAGCGAACTGCATGCAAATAATCGCAGCCAGTGTATATTAGAACAATCGTTGGCGCTATAATTGCAACGTAATTTGCATAAACATTTTCACCACCCGAGAAAGCCGAACTTCGCAACATCTGCGACTAGTAGTACGAGTACGACTACGATAGAGTCCCTTTAAATGGGCGGCGTGTGCCCAATTAACGCAAATTGCGAATGCAAAAGCCATTCACTCGTTTTCGGGTGCCTGTGAGTTTGTGTTTGGGGCTGGTTTATTGCCATCCAAAAGCGCGGCTGTTTGCCTTAGATAACGGGTTCTGTTCTGGAACCATGTTGCAACGCGGAGTCACCATGAACGGGGGGAAGGGGGGGCATTTCCTGTCGCCTGTCGGCGGCATACAGTGCGTATGCTCAACTTGATTAGCGCCAATTAGTCGGCAGTCGAGTGTCGCATAAAGCCGCGAATTAGCGCAATTCAGCTGTTAATAATCTATGGCTGCCTTAATCCTTTAGGCGGTTTATGCCTAAGCATGAATTTTAAATTAAGTAGAGCGCAAGTTAAATTTAACTAATTTAAAAAGCTCTCTTCGTAATGTATATATTCAGAAGGGACTGCTTAAAAGTACACAGAAGTATATATATAAATTTGATACTGAATTTCATCAAAGTGATTATTTGTATTATCTACACGATTCAGTATTTTAAGGACTAATTTTTATTTAAGCAGAACCAAGTAAACTACTTAGGGTTCATTCAGTTTCAAGTAAACTCAAAAGTCCAAGTTGGTACTTTTGCTTAAAATTCAAGACAAACATAAATGTAATCCATTGAAATTCCAACAAATTCCATCAATTAGTCAATCAATAAGAGTGGCAAAGAATTTCTCAGAACAAACAAACAAATTACTCAATCAATTAAGTTTCAAGTTGTATAAAACCTTAAAATACCATAATTAACTCGTTTACATTTGCAAACAGCAAAGTTAATAAACTCCTGGGCCATAAAGAAGTGGCCACAAAACTGTTGGCTTAACTTCTTTCAATTTGCCTTGGACAATTGTGGGTGAATATTTATCAGCAAGCTATAACAAGTCGATTGTGTTGGCATAAAAAAGGAGAGTGATAAAATTTATCTTACGAATTGGCCCATTGCGGACGCTTTCGCTCTTGGCCAACTGACAATTCCCGGGCAATGCGATTAAAATTCGATAATAAAGAGGGAATAAAGGAAATCCGAAATACCTCCTGGAAGGAGAAGTTCTCTCCTTTTTCTGCTTGTCGGCGCCCGCACAAAAGTTCTTAATCAAAATAACTTAATGATTATATTTGCTTGCAATTCCGCAGTTGCTCACTCCTTTTACAAGTTTCTCATTTTGGTTTCTTTTCCTCCCTTTTCAGGACGACCCACTCAAACTGCTGAACTCGATTGGACTAAAAAGGACCCCACAAGCCCAAAGCCCAATACCCACACCCAAAAACCCAAAGCCAGCCAAACCAATTGGACGCCAACGCCAATTTTAACTACTGTTGGCGGCGCCAGCAGCGAATAGCGAATAATTGAATCATAAAGGACACGGACGGGCCACCGAAAGGATCCAGATCCAGAATTCAGGATCAACAAAGCCGAGCAAATAATTGCTGTATAGTAGTGTGCACGCGGCCCCAGCATTTTCCCCATTTCCGGTTCCGGTGAAGGGGGAGTGGCCCATTGCAAAGAAGGCAGAGGCTGCAGGGAAATGACAGGCGTCCTGCTTTAATTAAAGCCGGGACGTGGGCGTGGGGCGTGAGGCCCAAAAGTGTGCGCTGCAATAAAAGTAGGAAATTGAAACGCAATGTGGCTGATGCCGCGGACCGTGGACAACGCAACAAAGTGGACGAAATTGCTTTTGGAACAGAAGAGGATAGCAGGGAGCAGCAGCAGCAGGGAAGGCATTAATTTTGATTAAAATTCACCTGAACATTCACATTCAAACCAACCAAACTACCAACTAACTACCCACTACCGAGTGAAATATTAGCCAAAATAAAAGAAAAAAGAGGTACAGCACATTTTAAGAGCGAATATTTCAAGCAGCCTGGTAACTGGTGTGCATGAAATTCCTTGGAGCCGAAGCAGGAGCATCAGCAGGAGGCATCTTGTGGTAGAGTCGGTTTTGCGTGCCGCAGGCATTTGCAACAGCCACACATGAACACGTCCCTGTGACAGGAGGAGGTGCGGAGAAGGAGAAGGAGGCGACGGCGAAGGCGAAGTCGGGACCCCAGCCAAACAGCATAATTTCGTCAACGGCAGCCGGTTGAACTGTCGTCGGCAGAGCGCATAACCCACCATTCCCCCGGGATCCAGAACCCGAAACCCATACCCCCAACCCAATCCCAGCCCTACATCATCAGCAGAAAAGGAGCAGGAGCAGCAGGAAAGGCGTCCCTGTCACAGTCAGCAACGGTTGTCAGCAAGGATCAGAATCAGGAATCAGGAGCAGAAGCAGGAACCGGAGCAGGAATAGTTATCCAACCCAAACCCAAACCCCTTTCATTCCAGCAGCAACGCCCCAATGAATCTGCTGTGCTGCTGTTGTTGCAGTAACATGGCACCAAACCAGCGCGTCACACGCAAATGGGAACTGTTTGCCGGACGCAATAAATTCTACTGCGATGGATTGCTAATGTCCGCACCGCACACAGGCGTCTTCTACTTGACGTGCATCCTGATTACCGGCACCAGTGCGCTCTTCTTTGCCTTCGAGTGAGTATACGCCCCGTGCTCATTTGTCACTGCACTGGGAAAAATCATGACTACCATAGAAATTTAATATATAGTTTGTGATGGAAAATTTATAATATTGAAAACATTCTTATTTATACATTAACTTTTTTGTTAGTTGATTAAAAAGGTAATCAGATGAGAACTATGACTTACTTAGCAAAAAAGAGTTTATAATGTGGTTTATGTGATGCGAGATTTTACATATTTTCTTTCAATAGTAAAATTCAAGTATTTATTCATTTAAGATAAATAATATATAAATAAAGATAACTTGTTAGATGTTAAAGGAGGAATAGAGTTAAAAACCTTGAGTTACTAAAAAAAAGGTTTGTATTATGGTGGTAGTATAATCTTCCTAAAATGTATCTATAACAAGACAACAATTCTTGATATATATTACACAAGCTTTATCATATTTATCAGTAATGACTCAGAATAAAAAGTAAGAAAGTTTAAAAAAGAAATGTTCTATAAATGGAAAAAAAGATAAGATAGCAGTAAACAAATAAGGTTTATTTATACTTGATCCTTGTAGGCATAACATCAGCGTTTATAAGTTTATTAAGATATTTTTTAGGCCTTAAGATAAGATATCATTTGTACACAATTTTTAGAAAGATACTGTTTTTTTCACAGTGTGACACAATTTGAGTGTCTGGGCGAAGCTGGCCGTCCTTTAGTTGCATTGTATGCGAAACGTATACGTTGCTAATTAAGCATTGCCCAGTAACCCTTCCGGGGCACCAGATCCCGGATTCCCTCCCCAAACCACCGTCTCCATTCCACCGGGTCATGCTTGATTTCCAATTACGCCCACATTAATGGTCTCTGACTTTGGACTCCTGCTCTGGTTTCATCGGTTTCAACGGGTTTCTCATCCGGTTACAGATCCCCCTCCAGTCGTCCGCCTCCGTATCCAATGGCATGTAATTATTGCTGTGCAACGTGGCGTATGCGTTATGCTTGGCCTGGCAAAGGACATGGCCATCCAAGCTGCTACTGCTACTGCTACTTTTTCAGTTTGATGTCTCTGTTGTTCCCTGTTGAATCCGTTGAATTACGGGTATCCGTGTAGATTGGAAAAAGGGGTGGACAAATAGTTTAAGCTTTTGATTTGTCAATCCGTTGGGTATGGTGCTTGTCCGGTATTCAAATATGTTCATGTTCATCCAAGCCACTGGCAAACCACCGCAGGAAGGGATCCACAGCCACACCCTCGGGTCTAGTTTTAAACTGAATTTTAATTTTGAACTCGTTCATCCGGGACACATTTCTATTTCCCGTTTGCTAAACTTTTCCGCTATTAAACTATGATGGCGGTGTTTAATGGTGGAAAATTAAAGTTTTTGAATTATTAAGGTTCGTTCTGGTTAGGGCCATTCCGACCGTTGCATGCTCTTTATTTTGGAGATTATTTTCCACTCTTCGTTTCAAGAATTCACGTAGTAAGCCCTATTCCTTTGTGATGATAAGTAGTCAAACGATTTTATATATTTCTGAAAGAAGATTATGGTAGCAAAAAGGAGTGCAGTTCTCTTAAATGTAAATTCTGGGTGCATAAAGCTTTTCCTATGTAGGACAGCATAGAGGGAAGGCAAAGAAAATAAGGTATTTTCAGAGGCATTTGCTATTGGTCGCTACTATCACGTTGCTCCAATAATAGTACAAATGTCCAATCGATTTTGCCGGAAGTGAAACTAAATAAATGTACAGGAGGCATGTGGGAAACCCACAGCCCACAACCGTTTAACCATATTCAATTTAGTTGCACGAGGCCGTTTTCCTCTTCCGGCCACTGGCCAAAAATAACGCATACGTCACGTAGTGCAAATACAAATTGAACACAACGTTAAAGCTGCATACCATTCGCCACTGAAAGCGCGATTAGACAGAATTATGCTCAACATTTTCTGCACGAAATCATTTCGGCACCACAGAAAGGAATTTCATGTGCGGAGGTTGAGGTGGTGCTCCCACAAAGAAATTGAAATTCCCCGGGTACGATTCCTAGGAACCATGTACCTACAGCTGGCTCCTCCTGCGCCCCAAATTTATTCGCTGCTGAAAAGCGGCGCTGCAGCGCGATTTTATTTTCATTGCTTGCTTTACATTAGCGCACAGTCGAGTGGAAGACGCCCCCAGTATGGATGGGCATTACAATATCCGCAATGCCTTTGAGTGCTCGCATAGTTATTCCTGCAGATATTCGCACACATCCTCCGAGTGCACACAAAAAAATAGCGTAATTCTAATCTGAATTTGGGTTAACAAGGAAATAATCAAGAATTTAAAAGAATTTTAGTATATAAAATAGGAAGTAAGAGTTTTACTTTCTACATTCCTCAAAAAACTTTAAAGTTTAAACAAAATGTTTATACAACCAGGAAATATTTAAAAATTATAGATTTTATTAATATGTATAGTAAATTTTTATAGATTTCAACTCTTTTCCACTTACAATACGAGAACAGGGTTGAATTCTTTAAAATGTTGCCTATTGACAACATGTTAATTTATGGTTGATTGAATTAAATGTTGAAACTAGAACAAGGATGTGCCGAAATTTTATTAGAGACATAGACACACTAAACAATATATCAATTTTATATTCCTCTGGTAAATTTATTACTCATTATTTTTACCATTGAATTATGTTTAAGTGATATTGAGAAATGGCATATCTTATATTTCCCCTCTTTTAAAGTTCTTTCAAACCGAAAAAGAGAGTAAAGAGCGACATACCATCTAAAATGTCTATATTTTTCTCAATGTAGGTAGACTTAACCCAAAAGATTTTTATTTTTTGTATGTAGGCAGCCTGGGGATGTGTGGGCAAACTCAAATTGTGTTTCGTTCGACGCTTTCCCGGCAATGCAAATCGCTAAAAGGTGGCACACAATGCATGAGGGGCTCTCCTTTGCATTTCCCATTTTCTATTTTCTATGGCATTGTCAGCGATTTGCCAGTTGAATGCGAGAAAAGCATTTTTTGAATGCATTTCTATTTAAGCTTTACGCGTGGCAGGGGACAGGGGAAATCGTCGGCGTTGTCATGACAAATGTATTTAACTATTTTTGGTTGGCACTGCAAACTGCTGACTGTTCCCGAATTGAAGCCTACACCCTCGTCCATCTGGGACTTGTCACACATAATTGTCACTAAGCACTCGGGCGTCCTTTGTGGGCTGATGACGAGTGAAAGTTGCCACTGCGACTTTGGCTATTCACAAATCGTTGGCACGCATCGGGCATTAAGTAACAATGCCGGGCCAGAACATTGTCCTATTCCCCCAGCTCGTGGTCCGCATCCTCCGCAGCTATCACCATCCCCCCTGGGATAGTAACCCGTTTCGGGGGCATATTTGTTCGGAATCCCACATTTGGGGCATTGCCAAATCACCGGGGACATTTGCATGCATTTTTGAGCAGGGCAGCCGTCGCCCACCAAACTGATGCAGTGAATCCATTGCCTGCATTTTGGCCTTTGATGCAGTGCATGCCGGGTGCATGGAAAGCCGGAGATTTAGGAAATCAAATTTCAATGGGTGCTTCCCAAAAAGGACATGGTTGTAGCCTAGACAGAAACCAGTGTCTCTTGGTAATCTCTCGGGTTCTAGTTGCGTTCAATCAAGTTTTAAAGAGCTACGTACGTTCTTTAAAAACTATGACGATAGGTAGATTGATATATAGTTCTTACAATATATTAATGTAGTTATACTAACGGCTTGAAGGTTGATATGGTTTCAGAGGCTTTCAGTCTCTGGACTTAACTGTCATTGTAGTTATACTTATGGACGTCAATCAAGATGGATTAAATTAGCTTAAAATTACGCTAAAAACATTTTCAAATCACAAGGATAATTATTAAATTATTTTATATACCTAATTTACAAGGGCTGATTTGATATAATTTTTAACAATTTTATTTTGCAAGAATTGAATAATATTATCATATTTATTGATCTATCCCTTAGTTTATTACCATAATTAACAAAGAAAGCCTCAATAAATCTTATTTTATTGACATGTCCCCTAGTTTAATACTCCATTGGCTGAAACAATCGGGCCGAATCAAGATGTTGCCATAACCATAATGACGGAAACATCGTTAGACTAATGATATATTTTTCTTGATTTCTCTTCCCCAGCTGTCCCTTTCTGGCGGACAGCATAAATCCTGCCATTCCGATTGTGGGAGCCGTACTCTACTTCTTCACGATGAGCTCCTTGCTGCGCACAACCTTCACGGATCCGGGCGTCA